GGAATTAGTTTTTAGTATGAGTATAATAATTATTTGTTGAAAGTTCTGAAACTTATAGAGTATTTGAATCTACTTATATATATATATATTTTTTTCATCAAATTTAAGTTTATCATGAGTATAATGGTTATTAATTAAAAGTTTTGAAACTTAAAGAATATTTGAAGCTATTTATATATGTATTTTTTTTTCATCAGATTTAAGTTTTATTGTAAGTATAATAGTTATTAATTGAAAGTTTTGAAACTTATAGAGTATTTGAATCTTACTTATATATATACTTTTTTTTCATCAGGATTTAGTTTTTAGTGTAAGTATGATTATTATTCATTGAAAGGTCTGAACTTTATAGAGTATTTGAATCTTACTTATGTGTATTTTTTTTTTTTATCAGGAATTGGTTTTTAGTATGAGCATGATGATTACTCATTGAAAGTTTTGAAATTGAATCTATTTTTTTTCATTAGGAAATACAAAGCCAATCTAAATGCTACAGTAATTGTCTTTCATGATTAAATAGATATTTAAAAAAATAGTTGTTAATCAAACTAGCATACAAATTTATTATAATATTTACTATATGCTTTAAATAGTTTATAGAAGTTTTGTAAGTTGGATTGTGAGAAATTGATTTTACTATATGAATGTAACCATGTTCGCTGAAATAATAAATAAGCATGAACTATCTTCATTTGTGAGTAACAAGTAACTTGCTTGGTTTATTAATTATAAACTTGTAATGTGGAGAATATTTGATGAAATCTACTAGTTATAGTTAAAGCAAACTATATTACTTTTTCAGATACAAACAGTATGGTGTTAGATAAAGAGGTTGGAGCAGAAACTCAAACAGAGATGTTGGCAGAAACTTCTGACCCACCTAAAGAAAATGAAGTAGAAACACAGGTGGTTGCAGTAGTAGAAATGCTAGCCTCGTCCAAAGCAGAAGTCAAACCAGAAACGGAATCATCTCACATCAAAACTGATAATAAGATTAGTCAGGAAAATATAGTAGAAGATATTTTGTATATTCTAATATATTTATATATAATATTTATTTATTATATTGTTCAATTAATAATAAATTTTAATATTAATTGTAATTTAAATTGTTTATATTTTATATATATCCAAATTCTACCAACTTTTAAGGCACATAAGCATGTTAATAGTATCACTTTTCAAACTACTTCTTTTAGGTGTAACTAAATCTGTTCCACCAGAAAATACTCTCTCAATTGGAGCACTTGTTGCTAAAAATAAAATAAATTTAAAATTAAATTATAATAAATATTATTATTAAATTTTAATTTACTTGGAATAGCTAAATAGTCTTGAGCCATTTTAGCTAAATTTGGAAATCTCATTGTATTACCATATTTAATAAAATTTAATATAAATATAATTTTAATATAAAATATAAAATTAATATAATAAAGTATATAGTACCTTCCACCATAAGAGAACATCTATATCTTGATCTTTAATAATAGGTTTATTAAGATAACATTCAAGTTCATCTTTTTTACTGCTAACTTTTCTTTTTTTATATGCATATGAAAAAATATTATCATCCTCATCATCATCATCTTCATCATCATCTTTTTCATCATCATCATCATCATTATCATCATCATCATCATCATCATCATTATCATTACTTCTTTTTTGTTGTTGATAAGTATTTGGAATTTTATCTTTATAATTTTCATTCCAAATATTTGTAATAATTTCTTTAGCTGCTGTAATATATTTAGTTTCCCATTTATTATCTATATAATATCCTATTTTTAATCTAGAATCCAAAACTAAATAAAAATTAATTAATATAAAATATTTATTTAATAATATTTTAATTTTAATTTTAATTTTACCAGTAGCAACTGTATATACATATCTATCAGTAAATAGATAATATTCAAGAATTTTTGATTTTGCTACATTTGCTGCATTTTTTATAATTGGATCTGCTTTTTTACTATCAATTATTTTTTCCAATCTATTTATCAAATAATTATAAACTGGAACACTAAATGTAAGTGTAGGATATAAATGACCTTTAATATAGTCAGTTCCTTTTTTAAAATGCTAAATAAAAATAAATTTAGTATAGTATTATATAATTATTAAAATATTTATAAAATAAATTTTAGTTAAAAAAAATACAACCTTCATTAAATCAAAAATTTTTTGAAGATAATTCCAGTCTTTTTCTGATAATTTATATATTTCAAGCTCTTTATCAGTAAGTTTAATATTTTGAATTGCCTAAATTATTAAAATATAATTATATTAATTAATTTAATAAATAAAATAAAAAATTTATTTAATATATTATTTTTATA